CTGTAATGTACTGCAGTTTAATTAGCGTACTGTAGTGTAATGTAGTGTAACCGCAATTGTAGTTGTAGCTGTGGTGGTGGTGGTGGTCGTCGTAGTCGTAGTCGTAGTCGTAGTCGTAGTCGTAGTAGTCGTCGTCGTCGTAGTAGTAGTAGTAATAGTAGCAGTAGTAGTAGTAGCAGTAGTGGTAGTAGTAGTAGCCGTTGTAGTAGTTGTAGTGTAATTCGTGTAGTTAGTGTAGTGTTGTAGTAGTGTAATTTAATTAGGTGTAATTATCAATGGAAATTTCAGGATCCTCAAATGGAGGTACCTACCATATATAAGGCCTATGTAAGGCCTATGTAAGGGAATACCCCCCCAAAATATGGCCTTATATGGTACAATACCTCCATTTTAGGATCCTGAAATTCCCATTGATAATTAGTGTAGTGTAATTTAGCGTGGCACATGTGTACTTGTAGTTGTAGTACTAGTGTAGCGCAGTGGTACTTTTAGTTGTAGTTGCAGTTGTAGTTGTCTATCTATCTATCTGTCTATCTGCGAGCTTGAAAACGAAGCAATTCTGCGAGACGTCCTCGGTTTTGGAACTTGACAACGTCGAGAACGAAACAATTCTGCGAGACGTCCTTCAAAAACGGAAAGTTGAGTGCAGAGCTGACGGCCTCGTGCCAATGCGTTTTGCCATTTTTCCATTGCATCTGTCTAAAGTATTGCGCCTGCCACGAAAAATTGATGCCAGATCATACGAAGTGCTGCACCTGTCATGCAGAATCACCTTCCCCAAACTGAAGATCTTATGCTCCAAAATGCAACCCCTCTCAGGAAATCAGCGCCCTGACCTCCTAACATCTCTGATGAACATGTCTCTTGTACTACACTTTTGCGACTTTCCTACCTTTTCGCGCACCTGGATCTTCTTTCTTCTGAGACTTTCTCTTTTTTGATCGTCTTTCTTCTTTTCTTCTCTTCTCTTCTTTTCTCTTCTCTGACTCGTCCCACCTGTGCTTTTCCATCTGTCCATATTGTCGGAAGTTTGGCTTCTAAACTTCCTTCGATGAGCAATTGTGGGCCTTCTCATCTTGCAAAATTCTTTTGAAAGGGTTTTCTTCCGTCTGCAACAGCTTAGAGCGCAACAGGACGGACCATGGACTAACCATACAAATGACAAAAGTGATCCTGGTTCGCTGAGGCGAGATGATCCATTGCCGCCCATGGCTGATTTCTCTCCGTTGCAGCCACCCCCGCGCTTGGAATCCACAAATGGACTTCGCCAAGCATCCTTGTCCCCACCTTTCCAGCTTCTTGGCAATGACATGCGGGTCGTCCATATTTGTCAATGAATCTCGCAGCTAAGTTAAGCTGCGTTCACAAAAGAATTGCCATGAGAGTATTGTGAAACATCAATGGCATTCAATAGATTTCAATGGCACAGTTTGAATCATTATGAAAGATCTTGCTTGTTGAGGCGTCGTTGACGATTGTCTAAGAGAGTTAGCTGATGTTAGCTTTGTGTCATGCCATGTGCCAAGCGTTGTGCCATGGAACGTGTCCAAGGTTTCGTCCTGATCCGTCTCCCCAGAGACCGCATCCGCATCCGCTGCATCCGCTGCCGCCCAGCTCTGGTGGCCTGGCACCGGCACCGCCCCAAAGGCAGCTCCAGCAGGTCCCACAGGTCCAGCGCACGCCGTCGCAATACGCGATCGACGTTCAGAAGATGCCGCAGCAGCGGCAGCCATCGCAGATCTCACAGATCTCACAGATCTCACAGATCTCGCAGCTGGACCTGCAGGCATCGCAGGCATCGCGACCTCCACAGCATGCGCCACAGATGCATTCGCACCAGCCCCAGCTGCATTCGCAGTACCATCAGCAGCATTCCCAGAGTTACTACCCGGTGAACTATTTTGCCTCAAAGACCGATAGCCAGATGCAATTCATTTCCGCGAGGCCAGGGCCGAATTTGATTCCGGCATTTTGAGATTTGATGGTTTCTTTGTTCTGTGTGCATTCTTCTTCTTCAGCCCTTGGCAGAAAAATGGAGCATATAATATATGGAACATAATGTGGAACATATGAAGAAAATCCTGGTGTGTGTATCAATGCATGGACGGATGCGGAGCCAGGCTTCACTGCATGGACGCACAATAGCAATTACTGTATTTTATGCTGTCTCAATCTATTTCAAGTAATTATACGTAGAAGACTTTAAGACTTGAAGATGTATTTCAAGTCATAATGTATATATATATGTGTATATATATATATTTTTTATTTATGCGCTCACACGTAAGATGAATGTAGATGTAAAAGGATATTGATATAAGGATGCATTTTGACGCTCCTGCACACCCGTGCAGGCATACTGGCGCACATAGAGGTCGAGACATAGAGAGAAACATGCGCAGAGACATGCGTTGCGACATCAAACCGGCACACACACACACACACGGACACACACACACATAATAATAACAATAACATTTTTAATATTAATAATAATAATTTATTATTATAATATTGTTGTTAATGTTATTATTATCATTTTTATTTTCATTATTATTAGTATGAATGCTTTAATTATATATGTGTATAATTGCGTATGTATATGTATATATGTATACATATATATATATATATATCACATATCACACACTGTCATTGAATGGCAATAGAGGCACGCATTACGGAATGCATGAGGTAATCGTAATAATTGCCACCCCTTAACTTCGCTTAGGCTCGGACAGGATTCGGCTTACCCGTGACAACACAGAGAAAGAGAGAGAGAGAGAGAGAGAGAGAGAAAGAGAGAGAAAGAGAGAGAAAGAGAGAGAGGGAGAGAGCTTGAGCTTAGCATAGCACAGCATGGCGTAGCATACCATACTATCTCACACTCGCTGAAAGAGAGGAGGACAGTGAAGACATGCATGCAAAACCAAGACTGACTTGCAAATGCATGCGCCATTCCTTGTGTACAAGGCCCAACGCAGAGCCGCCAATCTCTTGGCGGCGGTGTGAGTCCCAGTGTGATCAGTGCGTGGACTCAACTAGTGGCAGGACTCGATTGTTGCAAGGTTCTGGGTTTTTCGCTTTCTGTTTTCCAACATTTTCGAACTGTTGTTGATGATGTATACTTCTTCTGCAGCTGGTCCACGATTTCTGTCTGATTCTGGGACAAGGCAGCCCCCAACACCTTTGTCTCGCTATCGCGCCAGCGCCTCAAGAATCTTAAGACGAGCGAAGCACAAGATACTTCGCTACTAGTGTGAACCAGTGAATGTGAGTGACATTCCGTATCGGAGACCATTAAGATTCACAAGTGAAACTCGAAGAGTGGTTTCACACCTCCTTGAACTTGTTTGAGAACATTTCAGCCAGGAGTCTATCGGGAAGATTTCTGGGAAGGAAAAATGCAAACACAATGAAGATTGATTTCTGTCACACGTTATTCGTCATTCAAAATGTACTGGCAAGAATTACAAGAAAAACTCAGAAAATTACGAAAGTTGATTCCGGGGGTGCCTGCTGGCTAGGTTCAATCATTGCAGGAGGTAATGAATTGCTTGGCACCCCTATATACATGTTTGCATTATAACCGATTATAACCCCAGTCCGGCAAGATGTACAAAATTCAGAGTGAACAAAACGCACTTAGTCAAAAACTCTAGTAAAGCAGATTTCGCTACATCAGACGGCCCCGGTTGATCCGGTTGTGCAGGTTGCTGAGCAGCCAAAGACAGCCCCGATCTATCCAATGCAGCCAATGCATTCTAATTCACGATTGTCCCGGCCTGTGCAGCAGGTTCCTCAGTATTTGAGGCAATATGGGGCAATGGTGAGGGGAAAGAGACATCAAGAAACATGGTCAGAGCGCCCGCAGGAGCGCTGTACTGTTGACGATTCTCAAAATGCATTTCTTCACATCTTAGCCACAAAATTGTAGAAAACGCATGATTTTGGACACTTATCATCAAACATTGCTGACATGCACATGTGCAAAAACGTGGAAACGCGCGCTCAAAATGAGTACTTTCATCAGAATTCATTGTGTTTTCCCATGTATTTGCAGACCCCATTTGAAATCGCTTGAATTTCAAATATTTTTTTCTACCTTCCATGCCGTTTGTCTGTGCAACTTCAGATGAACGTTAACATCACCCCCACCCCAACCCCAACCCCACCCCATACCCAGCGTAGCATCACGTGGGTGTGCAACTTCAGAAGAACGTTAACATCACCCCCACCACAACCCCAACCCCACCCCATACCCAGCGTAGCATCACGTGGGTGTGCAACTTCAGATGAACGTTAACATCACCCCCACCCCAACCCCAACCCCACCCATACCCAGCGTAGCATCACGTGGGTGTGCAACTTCAGATGAACGTTAACATCACCCCCACCCCAACCCCAACCCCACCCCATACCCAGCGTAGCATCACGTGGGTGTGCAACTTCAGATGAACGTTAACATGACCCCCACCCCAACCCCAACCCCACCCCATACCCAGCGTAGCATCACGTGGGTGTGCAACTTCAGATGAACGTTAACATGACCCCCACCCCAACCCCACCCCATACCCAGCGTAGCATCACATGGGTGTGCGACGTCAGATGAACGTTAACATGACCCCCACCCCAACCCCAACCCCACCCCATACCCAGCGTAGCATCACGTGGGTGTGCAACTTCAGATGAACGTTAACATGACCCCCACCCCAACCCCAACCCCACCCCATACCCAGCGTAGCATCACGTGGGTGTGCAACTTCAGATGAACGTTAACATCACCCCCACCCCAACCCCAAACCCACCCCAGGGTCAGCGGGGTGTTGAAAACTGATGAACGCGTTGCGCTCCTCGAGGCGCTCACACCAGAAACATGTCTGCATGCAGTACATGCTGGAAGAGGTTGTATGACGGTAAAGTGCAGCGTGTTGATGTCATCTACAAGTCTTAAACGGCTATGTTATATTATGTTATATTATTTTATGATATTTTATGCTGTTTAATGCTGTGTAACATTTCGTGGCAGTAGACCTCCTGTAGATTCTGCTTGTCGATTGATTCTAACACTTTCTAGCCTTTATCTCTATCTATCTCTTGTTTTTGACCATCTCTCGGGAGCACGATCTTTTGCCATCGATTGCCTACTAAGTGTCGTGATAGGTACGTTGGACCTTTATGATCCTTTATGGACCTTTAGTATCTTTAGTTCACTTCAGCAGTTTTGAGGCATGTAACGGAACCTCCCATGTACTGGCAGTGCAGCCAGGCTGCAGCAGTGGGACTAGCATTTGCTTCTGTACTGTGGTATTGTTTTACAGTTGCAGTCTATTTTACATCGGATCATGGTGATGCAGGCGACATTCTGAACACTAATTACTTGGTAGTCTCGCATTAATTGGCAGGTTTTGAGGAAGGTCCCAGAGACTATTTTAGGACCGCACGTGTGCCGCGCAGAACTTACAAATAAAGATGTCAAGACCCAGAGAAGTGATTGAACGATGAATACCGACCATCCTGCACTGTACAATGCAATGGTTGAAGTGTATCGCTCTGTCTGTGCATCCCAATCCAAACAAATGTATCAGCAACAAATGGCCAAGCCCTCCGATTCGACCAAGCCAACTTTGCTTGACTCCTCTTTGGCAGTGTTTGGTAGGCCTGGCAGGCTCCTCATGGAGGCGTTGTGCGAAGGAACCTGGGGGAACTTGGGATCTGCCCGTTGCAGACATGCCTGCCATGAGCTATGATACTATCAGGTTTTGCACAAAGGATTGGAGTGCATCACACACAGATTCAACATGAGTCAACATGACCATGGTAATAAACCTAGCTGAATGTTTTTTGAAATCATGCTGTGCTGCCATGCAAGCTCCCTGTGTATACTCTTGACGCTCTTGAGCTGCTTTGAAGTCACATTTGAAGTCCGCAAGAGTGCTCGAAGCCGCACTGACCGCAGCCGTAATTCTTGAAAGCACATGTTTTGTTGTGATTCATTGGAGATGTTTACGAGGCAAATGCATAACGTATTAACATCCACCGCAAATAAAGAGCAGATTTCTTAGTCGACAATTTAAGTAATTATATTTTAATGTTTCTTTAATGTCTGAAGTGCTGTTGACATTCATTATCCTTACTTGGCGTATTCGCCCGTGCTTTCCTGGCCATGATGCGCGGCAGAGTGGCAGTGGTTGGCGTATTGGCCTGTGGCTTGTATGGTCTTTTTAGCGTGGCCTTCACACCATCATTGAACGTGGGCATGGGTGGAGTGGCTGGCCGAGGTGCTTCAGTGCAACACTCCACTCGGATCCAGCGCAACGCAGATGGTTCGATGCTGACGCCATTCGGGCCTGTTGTGACCTATGCCAAGGCACTCATGGATGCGGCGCGTGAGAAGGGTGAAGATGTGGAAGTGACAAAGGATGTGCTTATGATCAAGGATAAGTTCAAAGAAGAGGAATGGCTGGACAAGCTCGTCACAGTGCAAAATGATCCAAGGATCACAGAAGTGCAAAAGGCAAAGAAAATCGTGGATTTGCTGACGCCGTTGGAGTCTACCGTGATGCCAAAGTTCATTGTCTTTTTGGCGAAGAAGAATCGCCTGAATGGCATCAAAGTCATCATGTTTGAATATGTCCAGAGCATGTACTACAAGCAATCCATTACTCCCATTCGTGTGACTTCTGCCCAGCGCTTGACAGGGGATCAGTTGCAAAAGATCGAGCAGAAGATGAAGGGCAAGGTCGGCACAACTGATGTCAAACTCGTGGCAGAGGTGGACCCCAACCTGATTGGCGGTCTTACGCTTGAGTGGGGCTACACCGACCCAGTGAACCTCTATGCTCCAACCCATGGAGTGGACCTATCATTGAAGAACATCCTTAACAAAAGGGCCCTTCAAAAAGGCGTTGTGGATGCTCTTTGAGCGAACTCGCCTGACTTTGGCATGAGTGATGCGCCGAGTTTTTCAGGTAGCCTTTGCCAGAATTTGTATGTGGATGCAATTTTCCTAGAAGATGCCTCTGTAGGATATTTTTTGACATATGCAAATGTAGTCACCTTGTGTGACTTTCCTTCAGCAAACAGCGGGCACGGTGCGAGACAGCCTGTGAGAGTGTGTAAAACGAATTGTGGCAAGGGCAGGATGGAGCAGGTAGATGTAGAGATGGAAGGGGATCCAAGAGTCATCAGGAGGCCACTCTGGCATGGGGAACCTGTGGGAGGGTGGGGGCAGCGCTACGGAAGGGTGTTGTGTTCATTGTGTTCTCAGCCAACTCTTTGGGCAGGACAGGAGGAGACAGCCTTCTCCGAGAGAGCGTAGAACTTTTCTGATAGATGTGCAGGACTGTGGGCATCAGGATTCAGAATCCATGGCGACGTCGGTTTTTGGAAGGTTTTAGGCAAGCACATGATGATCCATCTTGATCCATAACATTCAATGACATTCTAATACAAGAGTGGTTTCAGTCTGTCCAAGTCATGGAAGCTGCAAGCATTAAAGAAGTTGTGGTGACACAGGCGCAGGAGAGAGACAGAGAGACAGAGAGATAGAGAGACAGTCACAGAGACAGACATGCAGGCAGACTGACGGACGGACAGACAGAGATAAACAGCAAAAAGGATCAAACATGCCAACCTGGCATCCTCGTTGAACACTTGACTTTTTGCCCAGCACAGACCTGAACATGAACGATGGCAACCATTCAAACCGAGCGAAGAGCAAACACAGTCCTCCGCAACCAGCTACCTTTCAAACGTTCTTGGTGGGCTCAGGTCCTAGGCATGTCCTGCAGCTTGCAAAGAGCGGTGATGAATTACACTAGCACCCATTGTTGAACCATATATGATTGCAGCCCCTGTTGCTGGCAGCAAAAAACACAATTCCCAGAATTTTTGCAGATTCAAAGAAATAAAGCATGTGCACGCACGTGCAGCATGCAGTACATGCCACAATCTCGATGACAATTTTTTGAACGCAGACCAAGGAGATTTAATATACACACATATATATATATATATATAATCTCAAAGAGTCTCACAGACTCAGAATGCTAAGCCTGCATTCCTGCATACAGAATTAATGTGTTTACATCAATCCATGGTGAGCGGAGTATTTTGGCCCTCACATTTGTGGCCGGCTCACGGATCACAATTCTGCCTGCTGGATCTTGTGTAGACGTCTTCATTTCCTCACCCTGGCACTGCTTGTTTTTCATTTCGTTCGTTCATGAATCCGTTTTTCGGCAAGGAGAAATGCCACTGAGCAATGACCAGATGGCGCATTCGAACTTAGCTCTGCTAGACCAACAGCATTTGACAAACCATACAGGAGTTTGAAAATGAGTGGACTGCGCATGAAGGAGTGGGATGTTGAGCTTAGAAACAACACCTCAAAGACTCAAAGATGCTAGAGTCGGCAAATGGGAAGGCTATGACACAGAGTACTTGCTTTGACCACTGGGTGCTGTCAAGACCTAGAGCGCTAAAGTATGCCAAAGTATGCTCATAGATTTTCATTCGTTTTCATTATTTTTAATTTACGTTGCACCGGTTGTCTGGCTCAGAGCTTTGTACAAACGTTTCACCAGCTTTCCTACAGAAGTGCCAGGACATAGGTTGCAAGATGCTGCGAGCGTATCGTGGTACTGTTTTGAGGCATTTGAGGTAAGTTAATGTAAGTTACGCATCAAGAAGAGCAATACCTGTCATTTTCTTGCCAAAGTAGGCGGCCTTAATAATCCTTAATAGATCTGTCACAAAATCTAAGTGGAGCAAATAGTTTCACACCGGCCGGCACCATTCTATGGACCGACAGCATTTGAATCATTTGATCGCAACAAAGTGTCTAGATGATAAATAGAATGAGTGAGACCTCTGAGCTCTTCAGAACTGATGGGAGATATGCGAGGAAACATGAGGAAACCAGCGTGTGACACTGTCAGCCAGTGAAATCCTGCGGGCCCCTGTAGTGTTCCACTTGGCCTCCTCTACGCTGATACCATGCTATGGCATCGAATTGGCATCGATGGCGTCGGATATGGATCGAGAGCCCAGTGCCTCCACTCCAACGAGCTCAGTGCCTGGGACATTGACCAGTTGACCAGTGGATGCCAGTGGTCACTCGTATCATCTATCACTAGTGACCAGTGAACAATCGGTCAGACAGCCATAGAGAACCTCTAGCAGACTCCAACAGCTTGCAAACTGCAAAGGATGAAGGATAGAAAGGATAAAGCAGGTTGACATGCTTTCGATGTCAGGCGAAATTCTCAAGTTCTGCATTGTTGCTCAAGTCTTCTGCTGGGTCATTGAAACTTGCGCCCAAGGTGGCCACCAAGCTTACCAGGACATGGGTGTGCTTGCCAAATCATGTTTGAACAAACAGATGGGGGTGCGCCTGAGCCATTTTGTGTTTGGTAGAACCGTTGATGCAAGTCCTTGTCATTCTTCTTCACAGTCAACGATGACGATTGTAACCTGGGAATGAGAACCAGACAGAGTACAAGATGACTTCTAGAGTCTAGAGAAACAGCCTTCCAGAATTTGGTGTGTTCTTGGGCCAGTTCACTTTTGATTATAGACATAGGTCACCATATTTGTATCGTATGGTGTAGTAAGTTGTTTGTTACAGTCTTTATCAATAGATTATGCATGGGCATTCATTTTGGAAGGTCTTTTGGTGAGGTCTTTGAATTGGACTTGGGCCTGGGGGGAGGAAGCCGACACACTTCTCGGTGGTGGATGTGGCTTGTCAGACTTGGTGTATCTTGGTGTCCTCCATCATATGGGATGCCAGACGGATGTGTGTGTGTGTGTGGATGCAGACTGATAGAGGAAACACCCAAAAGCAATGGTTTGAAGGCCAGAAACATCAAGTACAAAGTTCTCAGCGCATGAAATGCAAACATGCAGGCGATGAGCACCGGCATGCACATTCAACCAATCACACGCAGCCAGGATGAGAGTAGCGAGCTTTGTGAAGTTCATTGCTTGGCTGGGTTTCTTTGTTTTTGGTGCCTGAGGCTGTTCGGATTGATGCGGAGAACCTGCGAAACAACCGGGGGTGCGCGGCTATTTTCTGAAGGGTCCAGACATACTTCAGACTCTGTGTTGTCTGGGATTTTTTCTGAATCTTTCTCATTTTCTTTTCATTCATTTGTCATTGATGATTTGCATGCAGGTACTGGATTACAGAGAATCCTCAAGTTCTGGATTGCCGGGGCCGGGCAATTGCAATTGTGGATGCTTGGCCAAAGGGTTTGTTCCAATTTGGCAAAACTTGGCTAGTGGAGCCCCCTGTGTGCTTGTGTACGTGCATGCATGCACGCGTGAGTGTGTGCAATGTGCATGCGCTTTTCTGTGCAACGTGCGTGGGCATTTTGAGTATGGGCATGTGGGGGCATGGGTGTGTAAGGGTCGGAGGTTGTGTGGTTGCTAGCATTGGTGCTCGGTTTCGAGATGTTTCGAGAGCGTTTGTTACTTTGTGTCACCATCGTTTGCAAATGTTTGCAGGATGTTTCATGTGAAGGTATTGCCGGCTCAAGGACAATACTGTAAGATGCACGTTTAGCTGTCATGAATGAAAGGCATTGAGATGAGAGAATCGCTACGCCTACGTTTCCGTGCAGCATCCCCCATGTTTCGGTTATAGATTCTTTCTCGGTCAGATTCTGCCCCAAGAAACTCAGTAGTCTGTTATGCCCGATTTTGCACAGCACAGCGCGTGCCAAGGATTCTGGGATATGGGAGATCATCGTGACGTTGGCAATAATTGCGGATTTGAGTTCCTTGTTTGAATCAGCTGTGGGGGGTTCTGTTGTCCCACTTGTTCAGTCAGCAAAATTTGATGTGATGCGCCTGAGATCGCCTGAGCAGTGATGGCTGATACAAGTGGGCTTTAAATGAAGTGATTTGGCTCACAAGGCTTCATGGCTATGTTGTCTTATGTTCGGCCTTCCTGAGCCCCATGTTGGCGCCGACCCGTGGTTTCAGACCCGGTGCATGGCGCCAACACGGAAAACCCATCTGCTTGATTTAGAATTTAGATGAGACAGACATCCCGACATATATTTTGATCTATTTTGCATGTTGTGCATCCTGATCATCCTGCCACTGGACACCACACCATACTCCCCAGATCTCCCCAGTGCCCCATGACAGGATTCAGAATTTGCTAATCCTGATATATCCTGATTATCTATTTCGTTTTCATTTCATCCTACCTTCTCATTGCCTTCTTATGGATGCCATCATGTCCGCAGTTTGCCTCAGGCTTGACAATCGCAAGCTTCTCGCTGCCCTCTGAAGATTCAGATTCTTTGGGTATGTTCCTGGGAGGAGCGGATTTGGATGATTTGCTACCTCCTTCTTAGGACATGTTTCACAGACGGAATGCTGATTTCGACAGATGTTCAGGGTGGAGTTTAGACAAGAACTGAACGAACTCCGGCAGGCGGCTTTGTTCTCTCATTTCTGATTGCAGACGTGGCGCTTCGCATTATCAAAGAAAGATATGGTTTCTTCCTGAAGGTTCTCAACTGGAGCCTTGAATTAGAACAAACAGCAGTCTGGGGCGCGCGCTTTTCTTGGAGCATATTTCAAGAAATGAAAGGATATGAAAGGTTTGTTAAGCGTAATTAACAGGGCAAAGTTTGCACCTGGTAGGCTGTCTCGCTTTCGAATTTTGACATCGACTGCAGGTGTTTCAGTTTCTATATGATAAGTTTGATTGAGTTTGCCAGACGATGACCCCAGCCGCAAGCACTTGCAAGCTGCTTCTGTAAGAAAAGCATTAGAAAAACCTTCCCATTGAATTGTGACAGAGGTGCTGTCCGGCCGATGATTGAGCTGGTTGTGGTAGTAGTTGGTTTCGTGACAGTCGTCATCGAGCTCGAAGAACGTTTCAAGGGCTCCTCTAGTGCAAGGCAACCTGGAGCTTCTTTGGGTCGGACTATCCGAACGGAGCTCAGACATGTTCAGACACTGAACTTGCCAAGTTTGTTGCGTTTAGTTGATGCAAGATGTGCATACATGTGCAAGCAACATCAAGCAACACTATTATCAAAAAATCAACAGACCTCAGGGATATCCAAAGAGTAAGTACTGCATCGAAGAATAAGAATTAACATAATGACATCATATAACTACAACATCTTTCAATCAAAGACTAATTGTATTTCTTGAGGGTTATTTTGACCTTGAGCCCCTGCTTGCGGAGCACACAGTGTAGGACAATTGTCTTACAAATCTTACAATATCACGCGTCCTTTGAGCAAATAAGTCTGTTTGCTGGCATTTCCATGCCTTTGATGATCTTCAGTCTTATTAACCCTACCTTTTTTGTGTTTGCACCCGCTGCAGCACCTGTTTGTTCAGCAACTGCGTTAGGTCTATGTTTATTCTGTGTTATTGTGTGCTGTCGTTTGGGTTCGCTTGAGTCTGTTGCGATGGTCCCAATTGGGTGCAAATGCCCACCACCTTCAATTCTCTTTTCCCATCTTTTGCCCAAACTCTTGATCTCGGTCCGCATCCGTGCATCTGTGCGCTCGTTCAGACGCACACATACACACGTCACATGCACGCACATCGCTAGCATATTTGTGCATGCATGTTTTTTTCGTTTTTAAACCCTGCACTTCAGCAAGGTTTTGCGTGCATGTCAGGCAAATCAGGATCTTGTTGTTAGTGCGATATGTTGAAACTGCTCATTTGAATTATTTTGAATTTGCATGTTATGTTCGACAAAGATTGATCCCAAGGACCGGTGCTCCGAGTGTGCATTGCTCAGTCGACCGTGCAGTTCATATGGCACGCTAGGGTCAGTTGATGCATTTTCCCATCATTTTCCCTTTGTCCAAGTGCACTGCTTTGCTCTCCGCTGTGCTTGTACCAAAGGTTTCGCGTATTCCGTGGTTTCTTTGCGTTCTTCGCTTCCAGAGGCTGGAGGAGAAATTGTCATGTTGTTTGATGTTGTTTGCATCATTCATGTAATATATTGTATACTGTATAATATCATGTAATTCTGATAGTATATAGCAGTTGCAGTCTATAGATGTCTATAGTCTATAGTATTGTCATATACGGCGTGTATACGGCAGACATGATTTTACTGTGCTCACAGATTTGGCGGATTGCAGGTGGAATCAGGGGCCGCATCAACAAGGGAGTCGACAGGCTTTTTGACCACATTGTCAGGCCAGTTCTTCAGAGGTAGGCTGTAAAGGTTGCATCGTAATTCATGCAATATCATGCAATCATTCCTTGCACTACTCGCATCTACTCGCTACTTATCAGATCGCTTGTGCACAGGAAACAATTGGCCGAATTCCTGTTGATGCCCATGCAGAATGCGAAAATCCAGCCGTCACAAGGACACGGGGCGATTGGATTTACGCCATGATACAGGAATGATACGGGAATGACACATGAATTTGCAAGATTTGTAAGATCTGCACAAGGGAAACATGCTGATTATTGTTCATTCATACTTGAAGACTCTTGAAGTATCTTGAAGTTGTGTCAGGTGGATGCCTTGATGTTGCAAAGGGCCGTCTTACAAGTTAACTAAACTCGGTTTCATCACAGCATGTGGTTTGGTCAGGAATGCTATGAACAATACTGAAAAGATGAAAATGTGGAAGTGAGTCATTCAGTCCTCAACAACACTGCGATGTGAATTTTGTCGGAGTATAGACCTCTTGAATCATCTGATTCATCTTGAAAATGACTATACGGCCCGATACAGATATTAATATAATAATATATAATATATATATAAGTATACTGTATACATATACGAAATTCATATACGTATGTATATATCGTTCGAAAAGAGCTAAAGGATGCTATGTCGCATGGCTCGGTAGGCGTCTTGCACCTGGAAAGGGCACAGCTTAGATCTTCCAGGCATGGCACAAAGATGTGGACTGCATAGCTACACACAGTCAGAACATGTCAGAACTGACAGATTGACCCCTCGGTTGGCTCCTCATTTTCCTACCACACGTTCTGAAAATAAGAGGGACACGAGGGACGCAGAGTGAGCTTTTTCACATTGGACACATTTGACAAATTGTGACACATAACACAAAGCCTCTGAGGGGTCCTCAGGGGATCAGAGATTGTCCTGTTTGATCTGTCCGGCCTGCTAGGCTCAACAACTTGCACTTACCGCTGGTTCTGACGGCTGGCATTTTCGATATGGTGCACCTGGAGCTCAAAATGGGAAAGCTCAATGCATGAAGCTCAGCGAGTCAGCACAGTCAGCGCTACAGTTTTCGATGTTTTCCTTACAGTTCAAAGAATTTTGTCCATTAGATCACATCTCTATAGATGCGTAATTTGTATTAATTTGTCATGATGTGTCTCGTGTCAGTCACGCTTGCAGGCAGGGCACCATCGTCTCATGGTGCTTGTACAGAACGTCATTCTGGTGGTTAGTCCTGGCTGCAGCGAGGAGAGAATCAGTGTCATCATGTCATCGGAAGTTTCATGTAGGGCAGCCTAGGATTTCACCATGATTTCACCATGATTTCACCATGATTTCACCATGATTTGCATTTGAAATTCATGACGTCTTCAACCTGCAATGCAAACTGTAGAGCATGTGGAGCGTGTCAAGTCTGCACACTCGTAGCGCAGAAGAGCACTCATGCCTGTGAAACCTTTCTCTACCATGACCACAATGTATATGATATATATATATATACATTAATATATGTTAAACGGATATGTTTGGATCCTTACTATTGAATCTTAAGCACCATCATATATGTATAAATATATATAGTATATATTATAGTAGTTTTTATCCTTTGACATAGTTTACATGTGTTTCTGTCTTTGATTGAAGGAGAGGGCATTCAACTGGAACTACCATGATGTCAAAGTCTCCAAGACCAAAACAATGAAGCTAGCAGCAAAACTTATAGAACCCTTCGTGCCTAGGCTATCCTAGGCTTTGATTGCAAGATTTTTAAGTTTTCCCGGATGCGTGTGGCTTTGTCTTATCCTTGTTCAACGGCTTTCACGATTTTCATGACGCCGACCAGTGGCCCATCCGCCAGATCTCGTCCTGAGGCAAAGCCACCGAAGCAGAAAAAACCCGACACTGGAAACCCTGGCTCGGTTCGAGTACAGAAACATCAAGGATCCAGCTGGATTCGGCGGAAGCTCGCAAAGCTCTTGAGGGATATCCTCAACAATGGCAGCTAAGTTCAATTCAATTCAATGAACAAAGTCAACAAAGGCAGCAACGGTCAATTGTAAATCAAGTTGATACATGTCCGCATTGCGCTCGATAGAACACGCTTTGTTGTTCGAGAAGGCATGAAGTCGCATGTGTGATTTTGCAGCATATGAGAGTGCATGCATGAGCTCACATCATTTGTCATTGCGAATTCATGTTGAGAGCGCTTGGCTTGTCAAACGGCCCCAGGCATGCAATTTGCAATCCATGACTTTGAGATCCGCTATGAAGACGAGAGCTCTGGCATTTGCGGGCCCTACAGGATTCTAGGCCACTTGCCAAAAGAAACTACAGACTTTGCTTCACACCCGTGCATTCTGTGCTATTCGCCTGTCGCGAGGAGGTGTTACAATGCATGACTGCCATGTCCAACCCCAAATGCATCTGGAAGTTGTAGGGAATTGTACTGCTGTGTTTGATGATATTGTTGTTAAAGGCTCTAATCATCTCTAGTCTTTAAGGTTTAAGGGAATTTTGAATAATTTTGATAGGTTTGGTTTCGGGAATGCAGGTGCAGTTGGGTGTGGTGCCTCGGTGCCTTGGTGCCTCGGTATCGGGTCAGGTGGCTTTGTTGTGGACAGCTTGCAGCTGCGTGCAGTGAGTGCAGGGCGAGGTCATGGCGACGAACAGCATCTTTTCCGAGCCAAAGGCACGGTCATGGCCATGGTGGCCATGGTGGCCATGGTGGCCATGGTGGCCATGGTGGCCATGGCGACCATGGGCCTCTCCATGGCTCTCCTTCCAATCTCCAATCTGAATCAGTTCGAATCTTCGGTGAACCTTCAGATTGTAGTTAGTATAATTAGTGTAGTGACAGTGTGTCCAAAATGTTTCCAAATGTTTGCCGTAAGACAGAATCCTCCAACGCAGCCCCCAGACCCCTGAGAGTTGTTGAGTTTTTTTTTGTGCCCCAATCCCATGACCGCTGATCCTATGGAGGACTTTGGCGAGGTGGTCTTGGGCAACCAGAGGAGTCTGCTGAAAGCCCAATTCCTATGAGCTCGTGGCGCGCGAAGGTTTCTCGCGGTAACACGTAGCAACTGTGGGATTGGAACCGCAGTGCTATGCTGTGTGTGTGTGTGTCACTGGAAATGTGTGGGAAACATGTGCACCTAATTGTATGACTTTGTATGACAGCATTGTGCATTTTGTGCGTCGATTTCTTTGATTGGCGTAAGTAAGATCTTGTAAGTAAGTATGGCTTTAGCCCTTGGCCATCCCTGGCCCCTCTGCAACCAAGACCTTTTGCACCTCCTTCTTGAACACGCCTGCAGCAACGCCGCGGGTTTTCGATTTTAGCAGCACAGCTGAATTTTGGATTCATGCTCGATCACGAAAGCTTTTGCAGATGGTGGCTCTTCCTAAACATGTGGTTCTGACGTGTTTGGCTTTGGGATGTCAGCAAGAAAAGGTAGAGCTCAGTCGCTGGGACTGAGTAGCTGCAAAGAATTGTGCTTTGATGATCTTCCATGTGGTTCTCTGCTGCCAGTAGTTCACAGTCGCATCATAGTCGTTGTTCCTGGGCTTGAGCGGACCTCTTAAAATAATGCCGCCAAATTCACAGACTTGAGTGCCGCAGGCTTTGAGGGCTCAAAACAGATTCTGGGTTCCTTAGGGGCGTGGCGTGGTGCAGTCAATGACCACGTCATCAGGGCCATCCTTGTGTGATGCATACCGGGCTGATGCTGCAGAGTTGGCAAAGTTTCTAGACCAGCTTTGTCTGACTTTGCAGCAGGGGAAGGCATTGCAGAAGCGCTTTGCACAAGCTGTGGACCGACTTGATGCAGCCCACAAGGCGGAGAAGGTCGAGACATCGGCACCAGTGGTGGCAACAGTTGAGGTCAAAGGTGGAAAGGATGTGTCCAAGGAGACCAAGGAGGCCACGGTCACAAAGGAGGTGTCCAAAGATAGAAAGAATGGAAAGAATGGAGATGCGCCAGGTGCAGGGCCAGGTGCGGCAGATGTGGATGCCACAGATGCTGGAGCTGACACAACAGATGCCACAACGGATACCGCTTTGTCGAGACCAGCACCTGATTCATCCAGTGAAGAACCGCCGCCCCCGCCGCCACCATGCAAGGCGCCACCTCCAGGCATGCGACCCCCAGTCAAAGCCAAGCCCGAAACAAAGCCCGAACCAAAGCCTGACAGTGAAGTGATTTGGAAGTTCCCACCGCCTTCCACCTCCAAAGCCCCGTCGCCTTCCAAAGCTGTGCCGCCTTCCCTGCACTCAACTCCGGTGAAGGCGCCCCCGCCGCAAATGGAGAAAAGTGAGAAGAGCGAGAAGGCAACTGACAAATCCGGTGACAAAAGTGAAACAGCCCCAGCTGAGAAGGCTCCTCCACCTGGAATTGCTCCAGCCGAGAAAGCCCCGCCACCCGAGAAAGCTCCTCCACCCGGCATTGCTCCAGCTGAGAAAGCTCCTCCACCTGGCATTGCCCCGGCTGAGAAAGCTCCTCCACCTGGGGTTCGTCCAGCTGAGAAAGCTCCTCCACCCGGCATTGCTCCAGCTGAGAAAGCTCCTCCACCTGGCATTGCTCCAGCTGAGAAAGCTCCTCCACCTGGCATTGCTCCAGCTGAGAAAGCTCCTCCACCTGGCATTTCTCCAGCTGAGAAAGCTCCTCCACCTGGCATTTCTCCAGCTGAGAAAGCTCCTCCACCGGACATTGGCCCAAATCCACACAAAGGCAAGGCATCCCCACCAACACTGCCAAAATCTGAGTCGGCATCCAATGGAGTGTAGTGGCATTTGGTGGCACATTTTTGATGGCCTAGGACCTCTGTTGCAATGATCTGCAATCTGTGTGCACCATTACAGTGCCAAATTGCAGTGAAGAGAAACAGGAGGAGAGACCTTTTAGCCGCCTGAGACGCACGCGAGGTGAGGGCATGGTCTCAACAAGAGGCTCTAGATCACAGATTGATCTCAGGTTGCAAAACGCGTTAGAGCCTGTTAGAATGGTGAAAATAATAAAGATCGCGAGACAAAATCGAACTCGCCTGCCCAGCTGTTGCAACTCACTTGGTGCATTTAGTCACTAAAATATCCACATGTTTTGGGTGTCCACCCGTGGTGTTGATTCACAGGGCTGCCTGCAATCCGACATTGAAGTCCGTGATGTAGCAAGAGTTAGCCAATGAGATGTGACGCTGGCAGACAGCATTGACGTATTCAGGTCATGGTGTGCATGGGGGCCTTCACGGACATGGAATTAAGCTCTTCTGGGATTCTTGTCGTAAGGCTGCGCCAGGCGGATTGGGCTGAAACTGTGATGTGTATGTGATACACATGTGCTTCCGAGAGAGCGAGAGAGGCATTTGCACATGTGGCGATAGATTAATGATTATCATGTGTTATGATGCATTATTGTGATATGTAATTATTGTCATGTCGATTGGGGCATGACATGCATAATCTTGTGCTATTCTGTGCTCATTTCATTTGTGTTTTGTGTGTATCTTGCCCTGTCTAAGCCTGTCTTATCGCATTGGGCATTCAGATCAGATGTCGCTAAGATTCCTAACTGCTCCTGGCAGCAAAGGAAATGTTTCCAATGGACCGGAACTATACTGGTAGCAGCGACCTCCTCAAAACCGGTGGCTTTCTGGCTGCACTTTGCCACTTTCAAAGGGTTCCCCCAGCTTGCCAACATCTTTTAGGAGGAGATGGTTGCCTGAATTCATTGTTTTGTATATGAGTTCATATGTTGACATGGTGGTTTTGGCAATTCCCAGGTGTGACAACCACGACAGCCACGTCCCAGTTTAGATTGCGATTGCAAGAGGACTTTGCCTGCAAGCCGGGGATAGTAAGGCCAGCCATCTAACATAGATCCAATTGTAGTGAAATTCAACCGTCTAATATGGTGACCTTATGTGACCTTGCAACTTTGCAATCCAATTCCTCTTGCATAGTGCACAGGTGAAGTCCATCAACCGGAAGTGAAATCCCATTCAGAAAATTCAGCTCGGGGTTGTTGGTCTACTTTGTCTCTGTGTGTGTAGGGTTTTAGAGTTGCTGCTCGCCTTGGATATTGTGTCGAAGTGGTGCAATTGCAGTAATCCTTGTAAGATATTGCAAGGTCAAGTAAAGACACGTCTTGGCATGAAGGTGTGAGGGAGAACTAAGGTCATTATATACTGTAAATGTGTTTGCAACTCTTTCATTGAGTTCGCGTTTATTGTGATCAAATGATCTCATATTTCTGAGCAAAAGTACCAGCACACTGCAAGCAAGATGAAAGCAAACCTGACCTTTCTATTTTCGTTTGAATGGTAGGACAGTAGATGATAGATGTGATATGTATATATATATATAATTATATATGTATATTTATTTATAATATACACATATAGTTAAAGAGGCAGTCAAGAACAATCAATGGCTTACAGCAGAGGTGGGCTGGGTACAGAGTTCTGCCAGCTACGTTTGCAGCCAATTGAAGAAACAACTGCGCCTGAGGGCCATTGGTGAACTCTAGCCACACTATGCCACACTTGTCCACACTTGTCCTTTATGTATCTTTATGTCCCTTGATATTTGTTTGCCTTTAAAAATGAAATCCAAATGCCAAGATTAGCTCCCACAATAATGTCTAGTCGCGACTTCCTGACAGTGCTAGTTTTCATCAAACACAATCGACAGCAATCAGCGGGTTTCTCATATTGTTTTGGCTGCTTCCAGCTCTAGTTTTCTCCTGGCTTCACACGTGTTTCTGCTGGCCGTTTGGAGAAAACCATGTTGATTTGAGCC